CCTTGTCTTACCAATAGAAGTATTTATTCTCAGAGTAGCTCTACTTGGTACAACTAAAAGTCCTTTCATTGATCAATTGGCTGTGAGAAATTAGCATTTAAGGGGTGTGAAGATGGTCAAACGTTGAAGTTGGGCTCTTTCCAGACAGGTGGGGACACAATGAGCTTGTATGGGTCCCACTGTGACCTCAATCCCTGCGCAGAGAGGAAACCAAACCGGTAGGGAGGGAGACACAGACTGGCTGCTGCTGGTGGAGGAACAACAAACAGACAGGAGGGATGGCCAGGAGGAAACATAAGGTGAAGACTGATGGTGCACTGTAGAGTCGGCGAATGGCACACTGCATATTGCAAATATAAGCACCCAAATGTGTAAATATCTGGGGCCCCATTCATAAAAATGTTCTTACATTTATACTGTTCTTACGTATATACTTATATACTTGAAGGTAGTCTTAAGATCATTCCTGATGTTGTTGCAAGAAGCTAATTTGTAACTAGATATAATTCTTGCACAAATGAGGGTTTAGTTAGGAACATACCAAGAGACAGGATTTCTCACTAACATAAGTGGGGTTGGTGAATAGTGGTAATTCACACCACATGTGACCACAACGTTTAATAGAGAACAGCTTATATTTTCTGTGTAAGTCATATTTATAAGATCAAAATTGATTTTAAGTCAGTTTTATAACTGAGGCCTCTGGTGATCAGATATGAAAGTACTACAAGTGACAACAGTCAGCAGGAATATACCTGCATAAGGCTGAATATAGTTTCATAGTTGCTGCTTCAATGGCATCACTGGAGCTGCTGTGAGTTTTGTAAAAGAGGTTGTTGCACTCCGTCTTGCGTTGTGGTGCTGAGGGCTGCAGTTCAGTCACTTTCTAACAGACCTTTTAATTTGCGTTTGTCTTTCTTTCCCTCATTCACTGATTCTCTCTGTGTGCAGCAGATTTTACACATGCTTCTCTTAGATGTTACATTTCAGACACAGTTTCCTGGAATGGTCAGTGAGCAGTGATAATGATACATTGTATGATTGTATTTCACAATAAAGTCGATTTTTTTTTGTTTTTGATACAGACACAATACTTGGACAGGCTGGCAGAGAATATCGGTAAAGCGACAGAATTTAAAACCATTCTGGACACTGAAATGATAATAATTAATAAATTATAGAAATATAACGATACACTCAGCTTGTGATTCAATACATTCAATACAATTCCCAATACTAGGTTCACAATATGTTTTTTAATCCATTTGATTCTATTTTTTGTAAACAACACATCATAGCAACGTATCGCCATGCATGATTTGTTTTGCCTTCCTGCCATTCCGTATTGCATATCTTTGGGCTTTGTGTTAATTTACATTTGGCTGTCATTGACTTATTTTCGCATTTTGAACTGAAATTCAATTGTTACATTAGTTACTGCAACCCTGTTCAATCTCGTTCAGAGACAACGTTTTTGAAACACTACATTTATGTAACACGGTAGAGTCATGGAGGATTGGGGTGGATGTTAGGAGTACAAGGTGCAGGACTGTCACACCACAGTCCATAATTCACACCCAGACTCCTGCAACAAAAGCACTGGTTAAAGTTAGGAAAGATTGTGATTTCGTTCAATTAAATATGTTGTCACTGATAGAGTCTCAGTATCATATTTCTAACATTTCTGCAACTTGTCAGATATCTAAACTAAGAAAGGTAACCTCATAAACTTTGACTATTCATTACTTATTCTTACTGCTTACTACATATACATATTGGTGTTGACCTGGCCTGAATTGTAATAAAAAATACATATTTTTTTAGATTTTTTTTTTTTTTAAATGTAACAAAAGTCATAAAAACCTCTGAGATCCTGGTGGAGGTAACAGATGGTCTCAGCCTGGCAGATCTGTTTCTTGTACGGATGGTGTCACACATTAACACATTAGGATTTTCTGTGCATTGGAAAGTATATTTATTAGTACTGCACATGTACAACTCTCAACAGAGATAAGTAGGAAACAAGATATCTCACTTTGCTACTTATATTTATCAGCTCCAAAAAAAATGTATGATGCATCATTTTATTTTTTTTTATATAAAAAATTCCTTATGTCTCAGTATTAGCTAATGTAACATTAATACCTTTACAAAACTTTGGTGCACTTTTGCTAATATTAGCATCTGAAATAATAAGTAAGTCACCATATATATTCGCATATAGGCTACATCATCAGACTGTATCCAGAAGACAATACATTTTTTTTTTTAAAGTCTTGATAAATAACATTCTCAATAATTGATTTTTCTGGAACTGATGATGGAATTAAGTGAGCCATCTCGCTTCTCTGTGGAGAGTTGCGCATGCTCAGTACAGTCAACCATAATCTGTTGGTTATTCTCTGGGTCTTGTGTTTACATGATCTAACACACTAAGAAGCAGGATATAGGTGTGACACTGTATTGCTTTGGTCACGCCCAGTGGTATTAACATATTAACAAACAAACACGGAAGACAGTGCTACAATGGTATAGACTGCTAAAATCAAATCAGAAAGTTTTTACAGACTGCTGAGGACTATGAGGATGAATGGATGAACGGATCAGTTGTGGTGTCAAATTGTAGCTTACTTTATTGTTGTACTACTTCACTGGTTCTCAAACTATGGAAGCGAGGAATCTCTGAAATATCTTTAAAAAAAATAATTTAAAAGCACATGATACTATCAAAAAACTACAAAACGTTTACTATAAGATCACTGAAATGTAATATAAAATATATTTTGTATTTCCTGTAAAATTTAGTTTCAATATCAGCCTGCTACGTAGTCATTTAGAATGTAGTACATGCATACAGCTAAATCTGATTGTAAAATAGTAAGAGCAGGTAAAATCATGGTTCAAAAAACAATCATGGTTCCAAAAAGAAATTATTCGGAAGAGAAGTATGGACCAGGACAACCCCTTTTCCACGAAACCACCTTTTCTGGTTCTTGAACGGGTTCTGTTCAGGATTAAACAACAGTCAATAGTCAAATAATCTTCTAATTAGGAATAAAGCTGCTTCCTGTGTGTCTGTAGTTGAATAGGGTCGGCCTACACTGCTGGATTTTAGTAGTAGTTAAGTCAGTCATAATTTTGGTACTTTGAGAGCCTGATATTTTCTAAGGTGGTACGCGCTGTATAAAGTTTGAGAAACACTGTACTGCTCCATCTTAACAACTTTAAAACTGCTCTGTGTGACAGAAGTCCTTGTTATTTTCATTCTGGTGAGAAATTACGCTTAATGATCAGACAGGTAATCTCTTGTAAGCCTTCAAGATGTGTTTAGTGAGCTTCATGTATGTCAAAATAAAGTGAATTTACAGGAAGGAAGGTAATGCTTAAATTTGAACATCTAGAGACCCCTGACTGTCGGTACGTTGTACAGAACATCAATGGTTCCAATGTAGGGCTGCATGATATATTAAAATAAAATACTGCAATTTGATAGATATTATGATTACAATACGATTTATAATTAGTGGGAATGATTATTATTGCATCACAATTTCCATTTTTACAGAAAAAAAACTAGAATCTGGAGGACAATATTTGTAGTTTAGGGCATCTCTGTACTACAGTACAGACTACTACTACTACTAGTAGACTAGTACTACAGTACTTCTACCCTTATATATGGCACTTGGCCATATTGCAATTCCAACAACATTTTACTGTAAAGCCCTATTCCATTGGCCTTTCATTTTTTTGTGAAAATAATAGTTTGTTCATTTTGATTTTGCAGGTTTACCACAACCTAATAAACTCAGCCAAGCATATAGACATTGAAGTACTATGTGAATATACTGAGAGGAGATTGAGTAACATACATCCCCTGTGAACATGCATTCTTTAGCATATCAATGCACAGCGTTCTGGCCAATAATCAACCAGCTGCCGCTATATCTGGTTAAATCAGACAATGGATTGTTGCTCCAGTCTGCACACCTGCTAGTTTGTATGCGAAGACACTGAACAGTTTCTGTTCCTCTATGTACTCTGTAGTAGCCCTTTAGAGAGTAGCGGAGGGATAGTTTTCAAAAGTGATGCTTTGACCTTGCATGACCACGGACTGAATTATTATATTTATAATAATGAGTGAAATAACACAAATTGATGTGAACTAACAAACAGGTGTATAATTATGGTAGCACATAATGATATAGTAGTGCACATGCGCGAAAGCTGCATGCTGCCTGTTACGTTGCTCCAGCCTTTG